ATGTATAAATGACGGAATTTATTATGACAGCGACCCTCGATTGCGAACATACTTAAATGCTTTTTGAAATTTATCCGTCTTTCTTCTTTACTTTAATTTTATATATCATTTCATAACACGTTATTCATTAGATAACATTAATTAAAAGTATATGAATCATATTTTAAAACTGTATTCGCAGCCTTAGCACTTTGCGCCCCATGAGTTTGAAATGAAAGAACCATTTACATAATCCCTCGCATATCTCCAGCTCATTCAAATAGAAAAAGGCAACGTTGATAAAAGTCCCTTAAGCTATATTTATATATTACTACCCGCCCCGGCTTCGCACGGATGCAATGTATCCTCTTGAATCACTCAAAAAAACCGCATCAAGATCCGTTGCGTAGTTTTAAAGATCTAAGCATACATAGGAACAGACAGAACGTGGGACGACTATGTTTTATACTACGTAGTGATAGGAAATTAAAAGGGAATAAAGCTTACAACGTCCAACTTTTCGACAATACATCACATGCCTTTTTATCAACTAAAGCCGGTACATATTTTCAAAATTCTAATAATTCTAATAGGCCTAATTAAACATTACTGTAGATACTGCAGCTATTTTGCGACGAAAGTTTTCAACCAATTAAGAATAATATAAAGAAGATATTAAAAATTGAGAGCTTTATCTCATTCATATGAAACCCCTTCTAAAAAGAATTTGCCAGCTCTTTATCTAGCATGAGAATTAATTATAAAAGTACTTACGAAACAATGAAACGTTGAAGAACGTTTTACAAGTAACTTAGTTTTAAATGAAAAAAAATACTAAACAGAAGTACCTGAATTATAGATCTTTCACTGTGCTCTCTCCTTTCGATCTGTAATTGAATTTATTGAAAATAATTTAACTACAAAGATATAAAATCTCCGCATATAAAACACTCATTAAATTATCCCGTGCTGTAGATATAAGCTTAACTAACGTCGTTAAGAAATCTGCTCCTGAGAGACAATAATTACAAAATGTTGTGAAATGATGTTGATAAATTAGATTACTCATATATTGATAATTGCTTTATATATATAATTCCTCGTGTGTCACTGAACTCCTCCTAAACGGATGGGCCAATTTTAATGATATTTTGGGTGTATTCAGGTTGATTCAAAAATGGTTTAGATTCACAAATCGGTCCACTACATTTTTAATAATACATTATAAATATATATAGCTACGCTACGGTGCTCAGAAACGGCGATTGCACCGGAGAGCATGTTAATGTCAGTCAGTGAACACAATCCGTATGCGTCGCTCACGTTTAGTCATATGCACACGCTGCTAATCTGAATATTGCTAAAATTCGTTCTCTCCAACAAACAATTTACTTCCTCGCGGAAATTATTTCATTTGAGCATCCTTCCTATTCTCACGCCTTCCGTTCAGATGGATTCCGGTTTGTCACAGGAAGTTAAATTTTTGCTGTAAATCAAACTAAATATTCAAGTATTTCTTAATATTGCATTTGCTTCTTTGATTTTTGGAAATAACCAAGTTTTTTTTATGTAAGAAATAGCAAGTGCACACCTGATCTTAAATGATAACCGCCGCATGGACATTTGCGATACCCGTAGAGTTGCAGATACGTTGTTGTTGATGGTGTTCCTGGACCTGCCCATTCGTGCAACAGCGAAGATGTCGTAGAGCGTGGGCCTACCACAGTTTTTGAACATAAACGGAAGAACAAAAGGTGGTAATACAGAAATTCAATTTATGGTTAAGATAGGCATGTTTTAATCTTGATATTTGCCGCGGGTTCTTAAGGCGGTGTAATGATGTCAATGAGGAACAGCGCCGTCCGCATCGTATCGGTTGTATCTGGAACTAACTTCATGCCAAGGTTGATGACCATGATAATATCTATGTTGGGATCTTACCGTAAAGGGTTGCCACCGAATTATGAAGTATTATTTGTGTTACGTGATAAATTTCTACAATAGTTCTAATTTTTTTATATTAAGCATAATTTTCTTAAATAGCTCAGCAGATAATTTGTATTAAAACAGCATAGATTGTTTGCTATATAAGTTAATCGAAAAAGCCGTGCCATACCAACTTGTTTCAAAGTTACAACATTAGTACAGGACAATGGTGAAATCGGATTTACGAAAAAATTAAACATTACCAAAATGTAATAATTATTCATCATAAATCGATATATGCAGGTGGCTCATGATCGTGCTTCGTGGCAGTCTATGGTGGCGGCCTATTTTAAGCAGTGGACTCAAACATGCTGAAATGATGATGATGAAACAAAATAAAGTAGGTCATGTGTTTGACGTTGGCACTCCCTCGAATTTGAAGCTAGGCCTGTCAATACAAACTCCATACGATGTACTAGATTATCTCTTTCCCGGAAATATTGTACTTTTTATGAATCAATAGCTTAACATTCCTATGTAATAACAACCTATTAAATTTATTCCAGTCTGGCTTCCGTCCCGGTCATAGTACGAGAACTGCTTTAGTTAGAATCACTGATGACATTCGGCTGGGTATGGATAATAAACAAGTTACAGTCTCGACTTTGCTGGACTTCAGTAATGCCTTCAATACTGTAGACTTTGATGTTCTGCTCGCTGTCCTCAGTTCTTTTAAAATATCTCCTGCGGTAATTGGTTGGTTTCGTAGTTACTTGCATGGACGCCGGCAGCGTGTAAAAATTCAAGATACATTTTCTGACTGGTCTGCAGTCAAGGCTGGCGTCCCGCAAGGTGGCGTGTTATCTCCTCTATTATTCTCTACTTTCATCAATTCGATCTGTTCCCGCATTACTTCTCTCTACCACCTATATGCAGACGATTTACAAGTCTACTCTCGATGTAAGATTGCGGAATTACCCAATACAATTGGCTTAATTAATGAGAATCTTACCCGCATTTCTCATTGGTGTAACTCGTTTGGGCTTAAAGTTAATCCATCGAAGACCCAAGCTATTATTGTTGGGAGTTCGAAATTAATTTCTCGTTTAACATTATCACATTTACCGCCAATCATATTCGAAGGAACAGTTATTCCATACAGTGATAAAGTTAAAAATTTGGGCATTATATTTCATCAAACGTTATACTGGACGCGCAAATTAGTGAGCTAAGCAGAAAGATGTTTGCTGCAGTTGACTCACTCCGAAGACTGCGCAATGTCTTCCCCATCTCTACTAAAGCTGCCCTGGCTCAGTCTCTTTTTCTACCAATCCTTGACTACGAGCAACTTAATAAACTTGAGCGGCTTCAAAATTACTGCATAAGGTTCATGTTTGGGTTGCGAAAGTATGACCACATCTCTGAATTCCGCCATAAGCTCAAGTGGCTCCCGATTCGTCTTCGCAGGAATACTCATATTCTACATCTTCTTTACTGCATTCTGTTCAATTCCACCACTCCTCATTATTTAAAAGATCAATTTATATATCTAAATAATGTACACTCTTTTTCTCTACGTTCTCAAAATAATTTTCTACTCAGTACTCCCAGTCACTCCTCTTCCTTCTATGCTAATTCTTTTATCTCAATCTCTTCACATTTTTAAAACTAAAGTACCTATCCTCTTAATATACTATCTGTCTGTATCTGTATATGTATATATGAATGTATATATACATACATATATATATATATATATATGTATGTAGGCGTAGGATAAATAAAATCTTTATTTTGAGTATATTGTTACTATTTTCATCTTTATTTAAATTAATACATTTTAGACACAGATACACGTTACTATATATATATATATTCTGTGTATTTACTTTTCTTATTATTTATTTAGTACACTCTACCGCTTTCTTCTTTTAATGAATCCTCTGCCCTAAAGTTGCCTGGAAGAGATCACTGTTTTAGCGATAAGGCAGCCTGTTGTACCCATGTGTCTTTAGTTATAAATCCTTTATTTCTATTGGTGTACAATAAAGTATATTTTACTTTACTTTACTTTAACGTGGTAGTACTGCGTCATGGCATCTGAATTTTCTTAGTTTCTTGACAGCATGGCGTTCCTTCTCTCAGTGCCAACGCTTTTCAAAGTGGTAATAAGGATAGCTAGAGATATTCTCCTACTCAGATAACAGCTACCAATGGAGCCATGGTCCGGGCCTCTCGAGCATCATCGAATCGGAATGCTAAATGGATATTGTGTAACAGCCCAAGCCGAGGTCCCTTGAGCCTAGTTGCTCCATGGATTGTATACGCTTCTACATCAAAATCCCAGTAAATGCGCAAAGCCATTCTATGAACAGGTTTAAGAAATGTTTTAAAGAAAAACTTTATAGAATTATATATCGCTATCAGCAGTATTTCGCGCTATGGTTGGCACTGAGAGGGCGTGGGATGCTGTCCTAGCATACTACGAGGACATTATCACCCGGAAGCAGGCCGCGGAGAGATTAAGGAAGGTAACTGCAACCATGGATAACCGCCGCCGGAGACTAGCCTACGCGTTCAACCTTCCCCACTGATAGTGAGATCCAAAGCAGCAGGCATAGGGCTATCAGTCACTCAATCTGGGGCTCGTTTAAAAAAGATTCATTAAAAAAAGTTCTCATTTAAAAAGGAGGCCCAAAAAGTCCATAGTCACATCGGGGTCGTGGAAGATTGCGCCTACGTGTTCCCGTGTCCCCGGCGAATGCGACAGAGACAGATGGTTTTTAGTGGGTACCCGGCTCCCCCTATCAAATGGCAGGGGAATCTATAAAGAATTAGATTAACATTAAAGAAAAAAGGCGACCTCAGCACCCGGTCACCTCAACCCCGGTGGATCTGTAAAGGCCACCTCATGGCTAACAATGGACGATCCATTAAAAAAAAAACAGTCTCTAGGGAACCCACCGCAAGGCATCGCGAAAGACGTCAACGCCCCAAGATTTCCGATATTCTGTTGATACGACTACGAGAATGGAGTCGCCATCTCAAAACTGCCCTCCCCGTCCGAGCACCCGTACGTCAACGGCACAAGATCACTGGCGTATAAACTTCACAGCTGTCGGGGCGAGGTAGTCAGCGTCACCACACCTCCCGCCCCGCCCCCTTTTGCGCACCTGTTCAACCGAAAGAGACACTTCAGCAGACATCTTCACGGCATTCCAGCGGCATCTGTTCCGCATAGTGGCCGATCTCATCACGCATTTCCTCTCCGCAATAACGGCTGAAGGGAAACCTCCCATAAACATGATTCTTTCTTACCATCCAGTATGGTGATTAAATTACATCAAAACATTGTATGTTGAGATGTCATTCTAATGACGTTACATCATACCGATTAAGCATTGTAAAGTAATTTTAATGGCATCACCGTATCACCACAAAACCACAAAAAGTTCGTTTTTCCATGGTCTTGTGGCGATACGGTTGCCACGTGCAATACGTAGCTCTCGCGGCGAAGTTCGTGGGCCTGCCTGCATGGGCAGGCAAAAGACCCGTCGTCATCAAAACGTCGTGAACAATAATCCCTTATCAATTTTTATAATGCTCTATCGATTGTATGTTAAAAATACTGTTACTTGTTAGGGTTGGAGAGAAAGACCTGCTGACTCTTTTGAAAACCTTATTCACTAGCACTAGGTCCAACTCAAAGAACTAGGTCTAAACACTAAGCAGTAACGGTTTCCTAGGTTGTAGCCAAGTCGTAAGTTTCGCTGGTATCACACTTGATCACTAGTTTTCACTTCGAAGTTTCCTCGAAGGTAGCTCAAACTGAACTGAACTGGCTCGCCTCCCTGCGGCTATTTATATGGGCCGAGACGAGTCCCAGACCATTTCAGAAAGTTCCTTCCTGGAACGATCGGGTTGACTTGCGCGAACGTGATCGACCGGGTTGGATGATTCTGGAAAGTTCGCGCATGTACCCGGTTTTCGAGACTATACTTACTATATAGTTCCACAGTAGTTCCTCTAACGCCATCTAGTATTGAGTAGGTGGTTTCATATTTTCTTTGTTCTTTAAGTGGTTTAACTTGTTGACGCTAGATGGCGCTAGTTTATGTGTGCTTTGTGTGTTCGTAACAATACTGATTAACATAGTCAATAATGAATTATTATAAAATCCACTATTGATTAATAATGTTAAATAAAATATTAATTAATATTTGGATGTAACATTTGCGTGGTGGTGCTTACTGTGAGTAATCATTTGTCGCTAATAAGTGTTAAATCATTTGTTTTTTTGGGTTTCGAAATTTTAAAGTTTATAACTTATGTAAGGCCTGTAACCCACCTCCTTTTTACCATAAGTGGGATTGAGGAGCAGAGATAACTATACATTTAAGCGACCCTATTAAGTCTCATGCATGGCAAGTCACCGAAAAACATACATGAATATGAAAGGTCAGAAAAATACTTCACATTTTCGAGAAGTTGGAAAATATACGTCACCAGAATTCGAGCCGCTAACGGATATTGTATTTTTATACGATGAAAATGATGGTCTCTTAGAATATATAGAATAACACAATCAATTTTGATATTTTTCGAGTGCTTCTTCTTTAAAAATATTAAGTGCATAAATATTTACCGCCACGTACAACGTACTGGCAAGGATCCAGCTTCGACATAAACAAAGTAAATGGCTATACGAGTGCTCATTTTTTTATGTTTTAGCAATAGATTGCCAAGTCAGTAGTTCTTGTCTATTATTCACGCATTTGAAAGTTGGTTTATGAAACCATTCTTTTGATTTGGTCGTTTATAATAATACCCCACTTAAACCTCAATTTTTAATCTCATTAATTAAGCCTTGATTATTTAAAGTATCAATTTAACTTTAACTAGAATAAGAAACTTTAGCTAGTATTTACCTATATAGTTTACTGTTTGCTATTTACTTAAAAGATTTTAAACACTTCTGAGAGACTAGTAGTACCGGTGGACTTTGTCAGACGTAACCTCGTGAGCTTCATGTTGATACACAAGGTGCATCTGATATCACTGATCACCACCAGTTTTCATCCCGCCGTTATCGGAGACATCATTGAAGTTGGATTCTTTGTTATCATGATGAATTTACTCTCATTTTTCTTTGAACCATACAGGTTTATTCACTTAAAATTCTGAAGGGAAGGATTCTGTTCATACACATGAATTCAATCTTCCCCTTGAGGTCACGATCAATTCAACTAATCGCGATTTTGTGTGCCCACGTTTGTGTTTAAAGGGGGGGGGGGGCGATAATAACTGTAAAGTAAGTTTTAAGAGTATTAATGTTGCTGATATCTCCTGGCTTCTATCCCATTGTTAGAATTCATTGACGTTGTAGCTTATACCTATATGGCCTTTAGTGAATACAGTCGAACCTCGATAAGTGAGAGTTCAAGTGATACGTGATGATTGGATAGTAAAAAAACAGCCAAGTGCGCCTCGGACTCGCGCACGAAGGGTTCCGTATCATTATCTTTAAAAACGGCAAATTAATCATGTCCGTTGTATGGGTGCACTTAAGTTGTTTTTATCCTATTTTTTAGTGTTTTTGTTATAGCGGCAACAGAATTACATCATCTGTAAAGTTTTCAACTGTCTAACTATCACAGTTCATAAGATACAGCCTGGTAACAGACGGACAGACAGACAGACTGACAGACAGCGGAGTCTTAGTAATAGGGTCCCGTTTTACCCTTGGGGTAGGAAACCCTAGAAGAAAAAGAATGCAAACACGCTTATTAGATTTGTTATGAGAAATCGAAAAGAGGACAATTACTTAATCTTAATTTTTCCATAAGCATTAGAATAGATTTGTTTTCAGCTTTTAACGCTCATAAATTATGTCCTCTAATGACGATAAAACTTACTTTAACTGCGACGTATGATTGAATGTATTTAAGTGCTATATTCATTATATTATATGTAAATGGCGCAAATACGAGTCTTTATTTTTAGATTAGGTATTTGTTCCATTTGCTGTTGAAACTTTAGGTCCACATCAAAATTATTTAAAAGTTTATGTCCTAGGCTTAACGCCGCGGCTGGTGGCAAGAGAGCTGGTTCTTTTCTCGCTCAAAGGTTAAGCATAACTATTCAGCGAGGAAATGCAGCTAGCGTTCTTGGCACCATGCCGCGTGGATTAGGTTTATTAGATAATATGTAATGTTAGATAGATGTAATCTTATAAATATTAGATCAAAAAAGATTGTTAAAGAAAATAATAGGACCAAAAATAAAGTGCTAGTATCGGCACTCAAGACGGAACCCAGTTTCGAATCCCGCAGCGCTGAACATGCTTGATAGTTTTTCACCAAAAAATTTTACTGAAGCACTCTTCACAGAACCTTCAACTAAATACTAAATTCAGTGTATCTGTTTGTGACCTGTCTTAGTGTTTTGCCAAGACTGACGCAACCTATTTCCAATGGAAGTGCTCTTTAATCTTGTTTCAATAAATATAATTTTAATATCGAAACATATGTTACCAGTTGAACCGTGCGAAAATTTCGATGATCAGTCACCGAATAATAAAAAATTTATGTGTAAATAAGAATTTATCAATTAAATATATCTTATTTTTAAGAACAGGCTACTTTGCTATTTTTTTTATGTGAAAAGTTGCCAAATGAGCAGACGGTTCACCTGATGTTAAGTGAATACCGCCACCCATGGACATCTGCTACACCCGAGGGCTACAGATGCGTTGACAACCTGTTGAAAATTGGGCTCCGGCTACCTCACTCACCAGACGAAACGCGAAAGTATTTGTCACACTTCCACTTTACGCTGGTCTTCTGTGAGGTCGTGGTACTTACCCGGACGAGCCTGCCCATTCGTGCAACAGCCGAGGCTGCTGCGTGGCCCTACCACCGTAACATTTATTTAAAAAAATTTCAATAAATTGCATTATCATAAACTATAGGCCAATACTTTTAAACGAGTTTTTTTTAAAGAAAAAATTAACTTTATTCTTCTTTTTTCCTCAACAGCGGCAAACTTAGCCTTTGAAATGGCATTTTAATCATTAAATTTGATGAAGAATTATGGAATTTATGACTTAGATGCCGACAAAAAAACAGGTTTGAGAAATAATTTGCAAACATCGGATTTTCGTTCAGATGACAAAGTTATTTAACCACAGTAGTCGTGTCTGAGATTACCGCCACTATCGATAAAATCTTGAGAGATTATATCTTCAAACACAAAGCACTCAACTCTGATTAATATTTTAAGTACAGTGAGCTTTATATTTATAACATTTCTTAATAATGAGGTTAGCGCGTCGTTTCATCAGATTTTTCTTCTTTCTCCTACCCTTAACCCACCTTAGTAGTATCAGCACAACCCACAACATGTGGAATCATGTAGTTAATGGTATTAGCTGAGTTTTTTTTAAGACCGTCCGGCTCGATATCGAGTCGAGGGCACCCTCTCCACAAGCCGCCGCCTCAGGGCCGGCGTACCACAAGGCTCTTGCCTCTCACCCTTGTTATTTACGCTCTACACGAGCGACATACCTAGAGACCCCCACGTCAATCTCGCGCTTTTTGCGGATGACACGGCGCTCTTTTACTCAGATCGCAACCTCAGTCAATTAACGACTCGACTCCAAAGCGCTGCCGACCGCCTCGGCGATTGGTTCCGCAAATCCAGATCCAGAGAATCGATATTAATCCAGAAAAAAGTGTGGCGATTCACTTCACTCGTAGCACCCCCAACCCCCATCCGCCACACCGTTAAAAAGGTCCTCGCCAGTACAGAAAGTTGGGGCAAATATCACTATATGGCCAAACTCTCCCCTGGGAGAAAACGGTCAAAAATTTAGGAGTCACTTTCGACTCGCGTATGACTTTCACTGCGCACATCAATCAAGTCCGAAATAAAGCCGCGTCTCCGGCCGGCTACACAATTTAACGAATAAGCATAGTAAAATGCCCTTAAGGCACAAACTACTGTTATATAAAGCTTGCGTAAGGCCAATCATGTCCTACGCTTGCATGATCTTCGCACATACAAATCCTACGCGCATTAACAAATTGCAAGTAGTTCAAAGTAAGTTTATCCGCCGCGCAACCGGTGCGCTATGGTATCAGCGCAGCGTCGACCTGCACAGCGATTGCAGACTCCCGACGATTCGCGCTCATTTTAAAGATTTGACAAAACGGTTCTTCGATAGAGCCCAGCATCATCCCAACCCTCTGGTGGTAAGCGCAGCAAACTACCAACCGGACACAAACGCGAACGTAAACAAGCGTCG